GGATGATTTTGAATATTCACTTGAAAAGTTATCAAAGAAAAACATTTTTCATTTTGTAACTTCGAGGGCCCGTAACTTGGTTACGAAGACTTTTAGGAAAAAAAGTTATATGAAGTACTGGTGATATTTTGACCCCATCTATACATTCCCGAGAGGAAAAGAGGAAGTCCAGGGACACCCTGTATACAGCCATAGAAGGGTTAAGATTTCATTATTCTTTAACAATTGTAATTCTATTTGAATAATAAGTGCATCATCAAAAAGATGAAATGAAAAAGCTATATGATGTATTGGTTAAGGTCTTTAAACCTGGAAAATAGTGACAATGATGTATTGGGTTTGACTCCAACCATCCTTTAAGGCCTTAACTTAATTGAACCAATCCATATTATGCCAGTTTCTGGATTTCAAAAGTATTTATATTATCTAATGCGACTTCCAAAAATTGAGTTACATCCATCTGCTCGGTACTGCTAAGACTTACTCTTATTAATGAAATGGATTTCCTATTTATTTTTTTGTCAGAACTGAATAACACATATTTTTTCCTAATTTACCAATTTTTACTACACCAATCGCTACAGTTAATCATTAATTGAGTTGTTTTCAACTAGGTTATCATGAAAACTCTAGGTCTGATTCGAAATTTGGTTTCTCCCCGCATGCACACCGATACTATGATGGCTCTGCACGGTCCGCAAGTGATGCAGGGGGTCGTGCTGGTGCTAGAAGGCCCCCACATGCCGGATGTTAAGGAACAGGCTTTGTGCATTCTTGGAAATATTGCTGATGGAGAGAGGGCCAGGGATCACATCATGTCCAACGAGGATGTTCTAAAGAAACTCATAGGTATGTAGATAGGGCGGATAAATATTTTACAGATATGATAGAAAAATGATAATGAATGATAATAAAGTTTATGCATTATGTACGTTTATATATAATACACTAACACTGTGGGATGAACAAACAAAAACACCTCACGAAGTAATACTTGGTATGGAGATATCAATAAATTAAAATTTTGGCGACAATAAACAATCATAATAATTTATTTGTTGAAAAATTGAACCATTCAATTCATTTTTTTTTATTGAGTAAGGCAATTCATGAAAAATATGAGGGCAGAGGAAAAACTTCGCTAGGCTAGCACTATCTGTGCACAAACTACACATCTTTGTAAAATCTAAAGAAATGAACTTTAAACATTCAAGCCAGTCTCGGATATACCTACACACTAGGTTGAATGGACTGAAGCCTATCAGAAAACAACTACTCCCCTGGCTAATACCACGAAGGGCGTTGGATTATACACGACAGACGTCAGTGAAGGAATCTTTACAGAAAATAACCTGCATATACAATTGGCAATACAACCGAAAGAGTCAAACTTCAATTTTGGAACGGACACACTTGCAAACCGGTTTCGGGCTCATTAGCCACTCGTCAGTTGCAATGATAGTGACCATCATCGACCTAAAGTCAATGATATTACATAAAAGTTTATTTTCAACTCAATTGCTTTCTTATTTTCTTTCTAAGTGTCAGGAATTTTTTGTTTGAAGACAGAACTAGAAAGTCGAAAAGTTTTTTCCAAAAATATTTTTTAGTTTCAATACATAGAAAGTCTGTAATGCTGTAATTTCCTTATAAAACAATTAAATTATGTGAAATATCCTATAAATAATGCAAAACTAGCTCATAACGTCAATTACTATTCACAAGTTTGAAGAAACTTCATACTGGTAAGAAGTCCTATCGATGCTCGGTTCAAGTTTATTGGGGATTAAAAAAATGCTGTTTTGATATTTTACTGCTGGTGCGGCTGGGCCCCCTGTCATGACACATGTATTTGAAGGGAGAGTATGGAGATCAGTTCATCGTTCACATCAAAACAGAGATTGGTAGAACTGGGTTTGCAGTGAAAAACTGCAGTATTTGATATCAGTTTGGAGAGCATCATTAAATGCTTTATTGAAACCTTTGAAAATACTGCAAAATTAAGTTACAAAATGTGTTTTCAAACTGGATTATAAGAAAAAAGGTATTGAGTCATAGAAACTCAAATTTTGCATCTTTATTTATCTGACGAAAAACCAATTGAAACATTTAAATTTGATTTTTGAAATAAAGAGTGATCAACATAACTATTCACCAAGTCATTCAAAAAATCTAAGGATTTCAAGTATTAGATCAAATATTGGATCTTCTGTTATAAACTATTATATTGCTATCAATATTTTATATATTTCATACATTTATTAAAGCCAATTAGTTGAAGTTTCTTTTGCTGTTGTTCTTTTTACTCAAGTATAAACATTGTATGTTTTTTGGGAAAAACAAATTGTTATAATTAATATTTCTGAAAAAAGGTTGGTTGGGTAACAGGATCATTTTTTTTCCTTGCAGACGTTTCGAATTTAAGTAAATTATTCTTCAGGGCTCTGTAACAATGAATTTTCATAAACATACCTTCCACAAAACTTATACGATTATTATCGTTTCAATTTCACAAAATATAATGAGTTCTTAATTAAATTACTCTTCGAAAAGTAGTTTTTTCGTATTGATAATATTACTATTTTAAAAACCATCAGACATATTAGATACATATTTAAAAAATATAAAAAACATTGCAAACAACCAAAATTTCGGAGACAACACCAACACAAAACGACATAACAAACTTATGGCTTTATCTGTGATTCTAATAAGGTGACGTCTGTTTTTTAATCAATGGCAGAAAGAAAAAGAATGAAAAAAGGGTAAATTATTCTGGTATTTTACTCATCAAATTTAAATATGCAGTATTAAGGCCATCGACATCTCTCCTAGTGTTAACACTATCCCATTTGAGGATATTATTTAGCTCAAAAATCTTTTTGATAAATATGGTTGAACATCTAGAATACTTGGATGATCAAAATAAAAAATGTGTCCATATTGTTTTTCATGTTCAATGAGAGCTGTGAAGTTTTTTATATTCAGTTTCTTAGAGTCTCTCATGTGTTCTGAAACTCGTGTTTTAAGATACCGTCCGGTTTGACCAACATAACATTTGTGACAGTTTCCACAGTTCAATTTGTACACTATATTGGATTGTATTTCTTGTGGTATTTTTTTGTTTTGAGAAAAAATGCTTTCCAACTGTATTTTCATTTGAAAAGGCCACTTTTATTTGTTCGGTACTGAGTAGCATTCCAAGTTTATCAGATACAGTTTCCACAAATGGAATTTTGTGATATTTGGGTTTCACCCCTGTAGTTTGGGAGGAGAAACTTCGTTCTTTAATTATTTTTCTAACAAGAGCTCTAGGAAAATTATTTTTCACTAGGTAATTTTCAATTAATTGAAGATTTTTGTTATGGAATTCAGAATTGGAAATGGCAATTGCTCTTGATGATAATTAATATTATTTTAGTTTTTTTCTCATATATCCATCAATGTAATTCTTTCAGATTATATGACCCACCCAGCACCATGCCTTCAAGAATCTGCTGTATTTTGCATCAATAATTTGACAAGGAGAGGTGAACCTGGTGCCATTGAACGTCAAACGAGGTTAAAGGAGATGGGAGTGGTAAATATATTACAGCAGTTGTTGAGTACCACTGATACGATACTGTTCAACAGGTAAGTCTGTATAATTGGAACATATTGTTATTGATACCTTCTTATTGTTTACTTGCCTTTTTTTTATATGTATAAACAACATTTTTTGTTAGATCAAACCGTGTCTGAAGACTGTATGAAGAAGAGATATACATACGTACTAGAAAATAAACACTTCGAAATGAAATTTCTAAGTTCACTTCTCCGAACTACCTACATCGTAAGTTCTGGTCAATGCCTGCCGGGAAAAGATCAACTTCCCCTGCTAATACCACGCTGGATATTGAATTATATCCTACAGACATTTATGCAATTAACCTCATAGAGGACAGTCTTGCAGATGCTTGTCGTTCGTCTATCAGTAGAACCACGCTGATATTAAATGAGTAGATTACCTACAGAGCGGTTTCGGGGATCTACCCCTCATCAGTGCAGGAAAGATTCGATTCAAACAGCAAACTGCTTGGGTATAAAATTAACTGAAGAAGTTGCATTGTGCACTTGCAAGACAACTCAAACGAACAAACACTTTATCTTTAATTCAAAAAATTATACACCCCTAGAACACTGGGTATTTTTATTATTATTACTCTTTAAAAGTGATCACTCAGATAATTTGACAACATATTGTGCTATTCCTCTTTCACATAAACTTATTTGCTAACAAAATATATACTAGAAAATGAATATTTCGAAACAAAATTTCGAAATATTCATCTCTCCCAACTACCTACACTGTAGGTTCTAGTAAATGCCTGCCGGAAAATAACTACTTTTCCGGCTAATACCACGCTGGATATTGAATTATATCACAGAGATTAGTCTCGCACATGTTTCTCGCTCATCTAGCAGTAGTTGAACCGTGTTGAAATTAATCACGTTGTGAGATTGTAACAGTTTCGTATAAGCCAATTCCATCACATACAACATCAAAGAAAATTAATTTTTCAAAAAAAATGCTAACGTAAATTCAAATGTGTTTTTTTTGCTATACAATTTGAATATTTTAGTGAACTTGTACCGAATTTGAATCATTGTTTTTATTCCTTGAAAACATCATGAAATTTATTTTCCCAGAAAATAAGCAGGTTGAAGAGACATTCTACAATTAATGAATAATTCTTTGAACCAATAATAATTATCAGATCTTCCAGTTTGAAATTTCAGGGCTATGTAGTTTCGCCAATGGGAAAGTAGAAATTATAATTCGTTTTGTTAATAGTAAAAAATAAATCGGTGTAAGTGTGACTAACTATTACTAATAATGTTTACATTTTCTTTTTCAGGGTGAAAGCAGCCCTCACCCAATTCGCTGATGTATGAATTTAAATATTCTTCAGAAACTCCCCATATATAATTCAATGTGATGTGCTGTAGACTGAGAAATGTAACAAATATTTAAACCCTTCAAAGATCTGCGTAGTTAAGTTTTAGGTTTAAATCGAGTTCTGAAAGTACTGTAGTACCTTGTGCATAGTTTGATTATATTTGTGTTAAATATTTCATCACGCACTTTAATTATACCAGTTATTTATTGTTGTTTCATTGCTAACTTCCTTTCGTCCTTCTTCATTGAATTTTTCACACCTCGCCTATAAAAATAAAAGGCTATGTAAATGTTTCAGAACATCAAATTCCTCCCTCATGTTGGAGTTGTTCAAAAAAATAGACAAAATATATTTACAAACTCTTTCCGATTGAGAATTTCACTACGAGCGAATGAAAACTGATAACATTAATAACAAACAATATATAACAAATAAAAAAAATTGTTTAATGTTTAAACAGGAATAGAATCCAATAACAAGACATATTAATATCATTAGCAAGCATGTTACAACTTTATATATCTGTTTTTCCGTTAATCAGCTGTCGCCCCCATACGAACGACAACTCTCAGAAGTTGAGAAACTTGCGCAAGCTAAGGACTAACGAGGTCCTACCTTTTAACGTGTGATTCCTATATATATATATATTTTGAATGATGCAACCATTTTCTTTTATTTTCAGTATTTTAATATTAATGTAAGTCACAAAAAGGATTTGAAGCTTTATAACTTCTATTTAATTATATGCGAGCGCTTTCAATAGCTGGTCGTACCATCATCATCTAGGCTCTACTCTATGTTTGAGTGGTATCTTTGGAAGCAAACCTAAAAGGTGAAATGCTGAATAAAGGTATGCCAAACATTAACAACACCATCGTTAGATAATTTATTGCAAAATGGCTGATGAATTGGAAGGTGTGGTTCTACAAAATGACCACCCAGATACCTTGATTTGACTCCACTGGACTTTTTTCTATGGAGAGTCTTTAAATAAAAAAATGTTCAAGACAACCAACTACTGTAGATAATTTATGGGAAGAAATTACCAAGTGCTATAGGCTACACCCTTGATTATACCACTTTATTGAAGAGAGTGGTGCTGTCATTTTTCTGTAAAGTTTCACTTTCTAATTTGAAATAAAAAATTATTTTTTCGGACACTGTTCAACATTGAAATGTCAAAAATGTTTTGGGGTTACTTACAAAATTGAAAGACCTCTCAAATAAGGTGTCACTGGACAATTATTTCTTTTGAGTTTTTTAATGTATGTCAATATTAAATTCATAGACTTATTTATCACAAGAATTGAGTAAATGCTGTTGAACCATGAATATATTTAAAATTATTTTCCACTTGATCTAGTTTTCAACTGTATTGATGTACCATGTCGATCATATATATCAATCACTTTTACTCATTATTCTCACATCGTGAAGTAAGTGAACATTGGCTGCGAAAATCATATGCCCAGAGCAGATGCAACGAGCCTTCTGCATTTCTCCGACTGGATTTCTGGACTCCAATTACAGAACATGATGGTCTAGGTAGAGTCTGCAACTTTTTGTCGACAGCAAGAGAAAAAATTAAAACAATTGACACAATCTGCATAGAATGAATACAGAAAAATGTTTCCAGTTCTGGAGCGGCAGAAGTATTTATTATGGAAAGCCAAATGTTTCCAAACAATATTAAATTGAAATAATGTTATCTTCAGATGTTTATGGAAAAAAAATTGATAAAATTATTTATATACAGCATATGATCAACTGGAAGAAAAAACATATCAGTGCATTTATAAATGTATTTCATTATATTTACTGACAAAAACGTCTAGCAAAATTCACTCTTTGGTAAATATATTCTTGAATCTAAAATTATATTTTAATGGATTACAGATGATACAAAATTGAAAAGACTATAATTTACTTGAATTAGTTGATATGAACTATAGTCCATTCTCTATGAAAGTAAAGCAAAGATTTAAGAATAATTGATAGATATTATATTTTTTATTCAAAGAATAAAATTCCTGTTAACAAACACAATGTCTTTAAAGACTCACACTGAAAATTAAATAATTTTTTCACAATTACAGATTCCTATTTTGAATTATCTTTGGTTTTATAGCAAACAATTTTTTATAAGCAAATTAATAAATAATCCGTTGTCTTCCACTGATGAACTGGTCCATATGAGATTCCAGAGTAACTTGTAATGCAGATCCAATAACAGATAATCTAAATTTCCCATCTATATGTGAATGGTTGTTTACAACCTCTCACAAGGTACTAAGAGGAAAAATCAGGCAAGAGCCAATTTATCAGTTGAAAAATCAATGAAAAATGCAGATAAAAATAACAAAATTCATAGAATAATCATAAAGATTTTCATCCCTCTTTATACTAGGTTGGTTTAAAATTTAAATAATTAATTAGGAGATATGGAAAGCTGGGTTTACTTCATTTCATGAAATATACATAATGCAAATATAAATTTAAAAAATCTTTGGTATTGATAGGGAATGTAAAAAAAAGTTGATTATTGGAGGCCAGCAGAATAATTTCCTGTGGTATAATTTGGAGAATGCAAGTATTTGAAAAACATTCGAGATAGTTTATTCTAAATAAAATCTTATTTTTATTAATGAATTGAGTCGCTAATAATAAAATCTTCCTCAAAGATTCTTAGGTGATTAAGCAAAAATAGTTTTCACCTATTCAAACATCACTTGCTGACCTCTCCAGTTTCATTATTTATGCCCGGTCGCCAGCCGTTGCATTTTCATTAGCAGCACCAGAAAGCGGATCCAGCTCAGCAAATAAACTAAGCCAAGACACTTGCTTATCATGTGATGCGGAGTTAGAAGCACTGTTATCAACTTTCTCTTGGTTAGATTCCTCTTTGGTGGGAGATACTGTAGGAAAACTGAAAGAACCTTCCTGGATGAGCCGTGAAGGCATGAAGTCACCGCCAAGGAAGTCAGAATTCGTCGACCAGTTCAGATCCAGAAGAGCTGAACTGGGTTTTGCAATGTCAGTTTCTGTTGACGTGGGTTGTTCTGTAGGTGGGGTGGAGTAATCTCCATCAAGGAGGTTTGGTATTTCAGGTGAGGGTTGTGTTTTCTCCCTGAAAAATCAAGAGAATAAACAAACCGTTAATAAACTAATATTATTTAATAAATTAATATTTTGAAAACATAACCAAAAAAATTGAAAGTGGCAAAATTAGACCCAATTGACAAAAATATAGGGTCGGGGGTGATGTGTGGTGGCTCTGGCACAGAACAGTTTTATATGTTGTAGACTCTTTACATTTCATGTTATTTTGACTTTCTTCATATTATTTCCTTATATACCTTGCAATTACTCATTATATACCCGAGGATGACTAATTTTAATAAATTATCATTATCCTCAGTGTCAGTAAGATTAATCTTTAGACAATTAATCATGTTCATTATTATTATTATTGATGTACAGAAAGTAACAGTTATTTGATATTTTTCATCTTTGGAGACCAGTATCTCAAATTACACAATACAGAGTGAAGTAGAGTTCTTTATTCAACTGTTTTACCTACTAAAGTACATTTATGGCAAGTTATTCCTTGTTCCAAGTTACAAGATAAAATCATCTACTACAAAATAATAAAGGTTCAATTAAAATCATAAATATGAAATCAATAAAATAGGTTTTGAAAGAGATTATTTGGTGGTCCCGCCACATCAACTAATTCCTGAATGTAATAAAAACAGCGTAAGAGGAGAGAAATTTTGATAGTAGTTTACACAGATGGGTGAAGATTATTATATAGATCAATGTTCAATGAATTCTTCAGGTGTTTCTTGGATGTTCAACAGTTTATTACTTCAACATATTGGTACCACTTTGTAAAATAAGAGCTTTAGAGTTGTGTCCTGGACACAGAGGTAGCTAGCTCATTTTTTACATCAAAATAGTATGTGAAAACACAGTCGAATGCATTTACCAACACATCGACTATGTCCGACTCTAGTTTGTAAGCTTCTCGAGTAGTTGACACATTTCTTTGCAAACCATACTGTGAATTTTTGAAGCAGAACCATTCAAGGTATAATGCTAATTGAATGCATATTATCTGTTGAAGATCTAGAATCTTTTTCGAATAAGGGTAAGTAGAAAGAAGTGATGCCAAGGTAGTTGGTAAAATGTGCGTCGAGAACAGTGTTGCAGTTCTGGTGTTTTGAAGTAGTGCTTGTTTTGAAAGGGTATCACTATTGACACTTTTGAAACTGCAAAATATTCTCTTTGAAAAAATCTTGTTAATTAATGAGTTTGTGGTTCTGGGCTCATCTGGATATTAAGTCATGTATATCACAAGTACTGTTATTTATTCAAAAAAATTAATCCACTGGATGTCAAATATCAAACCTCTTATATTCAACTTATAGCAATTACAAAAATATTCAAAAGTATTACCCTTTTGACGTGTCTCCTGCTGTTGTTTGTTCTTTTGCCGTTTCATCTGAATAGTCAGCATTAAAGAACGTTTTCTTGTCTTTGTCACTCTCGTACGGTATAGCAAGTTCCAGTATTGCTGTGGTATCGAATGGTTGAACACTTTCTAATTTAGCAGCTGCTATACCCAAAGTTTCTGCAGATTTTGTGGAAAAGTTTACAATTGAATTTTGGTATGGTACTAAAGCATGAGAGAACATATTACACCTTGCTGCAGCTAATAAATCGACTTTTTGTAGGCATGCCAGCGTGTACCTATCAAATTTAGTTTTGGTAGTTTTCACATAAGACTGGGCTTTCCTGAACCTTTCCAATCCATGCCCAGTATCTGGATCCAATTGGGCAGAAGCAGATTTCATCCAACTGAGAGCTGCTCTGTATTCGGTTCTTGTCTTTTCCATTTCAGCAACTGTCGCTCTTGTGTCAGTTATAGCTCTTGCTCTGAATGTTTCTACTTCGTGATGTAATCTAACCAGTGAAGGCCTTATTGTCAATCTTTGATGGCCAGTATATGCAAGAGCTTTTCCAGATACGGACATTATTTGACCTGCTGAGACATTTTTTTCACTCTTGCCGCATTCTTTCAAGTATCTACCCAGAGCATTTTCTTCCTGAGCTAAATAACATAGCCTTTCTTGATACAAATCGATAACTCTTTGTAACTGATTGCAACTATCATTTATGGATTTGAATAATTCAAGTTTAGCATCCAATTCAGCATCTGAGGACACAATACATTCATCTTCTTTGCCTCCTAGTTTTCGTAGAACACTCTTTTTTGTTACCCAATACTGGTGCTGCATTTCTTATTCTAATTAGAATAAAACACGTCGTCATGAAAATACTGATTAGATATTGTAATTCGACTTATCAATAATCACAGAGGAAAATATCAGCATCATAGACATAATCAACACAAATCCTAAACCACAGACCACCAACTCACAACAAGTTGTGATCCAAGAGCCAAGTCGTGAAATAAACTGTCATCAATGACAGTGAGAAAAAAAAACATACTGTGGCTATACCTCCGTAGCCGTCTTCTCTATCTTGTCTAATGATATTTTAATTTTTTTACTTTAAATGTTTGAGTTTATTTAAGACATGTTTCATTTGAAAGTTTGATATGTGAATTGAATTTTCAAATAATTATCAAGTAATGATAATAAGCGTTAATACTTCCTATTTTCCACTGTATAATTTTCAATATTTTACGGCCCCCCTGACTATCTGATGTTTAGTAAAAATCTGGTGAGTCAAAATCCAGTCACTTCCTGTATTTGTCATATGTTTGAACTGCATCTATAATTTTTGAAATAGTATTACTTCGTAATTCAATGACATTTTCATAGAATTATTCAATTATTGTATAGAACCCTATGTGAAACAAATCTTTAGACTTCAAATTTCTACTGGGAACATAGAAATGGATATTTTTTGGGATTACAGGCGTAATAATCTAAACATTTATCAGTTCGAATATAAATATTAAATTTTCTTTGCCTTCATTCAATATATTAAAATTAAGGAGTTTTTAAGATGTTATAATCATTTTTGATAATAGATATATTCATCTCAATAATTTATTTCGTACTCCTTCATTCAATGGCAACATTGTGATTGTCATTAAAAATGGAGTCACAAAATATTTAAAATATAGATGTTTGTCATGTAGAATGAGGAATCCAAGACATTTTTTGCTTTTGACACAATATAGGTCACATAGTGTGAAAATGAAGTTTTTTCATAAAAAAAACGAAAACTTGTAGCTTTCAAGCGATAAGTTTTATATTATATGCAATAAAATACTAATGATACAAGCTTTTCAAAATTGACCAATCAACAAACTTCCTCTTCTGCTAACCTCAAAAGTTTTACATGCTGATGGAGAGAGGGCCAGGGATCACATCATGTCCAACGAGGATGTTCTAAAGAAACTCATAGGTATGTAGATAGGGCGGATAAATATTTTACTGATATGATAGAAAAATGATAATGAATGATAATAAAGCTTATACATTATGTACGTTTATATATAATAGATAGATAGATAGATAGATAGATTTTATTTGAGTACGTTATGTAAAAAGAAAAAACATTTGTAGCAAGTCATATCATTCAATATAAAATGTAAAACTATAAAATGTAAAATGTTCATCCCACTAACACTGTGGGATGAACAAACAAAAACACCTCACGAAGTAATACTTGGTATATTTCGATTTTCCCTGTATAATTTGATTTACACGCTTGCACCAATTATGTGTGATAGTTGTTATGGTGAATTTGTACTCACCAGGAAGATTTAGAGTTGCTACAGCGTTCCCAAATAACTTGTGAGACCAAGCAGAAATGTATTTTGCCTCAAAATGACTATCACACAGCCTTCTAGAACCGTAAACTTCTTTTGGGTCCATTTCCATCAGTTCCAAGTTATTAATTACCAGTATCCATTTCTTGAACCTATTTATATCTTTATCTGGATTAGGGAACGCATGTCTAATACTAGATATACTTTTGCAATAAGAAACGCAACATTTGATGTGTTAAACCATTGTAAAATTATGCACATGTTCTTCTTCTTCTTATGTTTGACATACATCACAAACCACAAGAATATATGTGGGTCCGTGACATAAAACCAAAGAACAAATTTACAGTGCCATCTTAAGATTTGTATCGGTACCAAAAAAGGGATTCAAGGTGAAGTAACCTACGTGAACCGTCTAGGGTATATGGTATATGGTCTGTGTTCATTACCAAAAAGTGTCACTACTGTGGCACACTGCGATACTTGTCAAAATTGTCCAGTCAAAGAGTAGAGAATAGAGAACAGATAGGTAAATTACGCATACGCAGTTCTACTGTTGTTCTTTGTTTTTAAAAATAGATAATCCAAGAGATATATTCCGAGAAAATAATGAATTATTGAATGTATGAATTTTTGAGTCGTAGGTTTATATAAGAATACATTTCATGATGTCTCACAGTAGCAATAAAACTGAAGATGATTCAAGACATAGTCTCAGAAAACTTCATGCTGAGTTCAAAGCAAAAAGAAAATTAAGAATTCCCGAAGAAATACAGAAGATACAAAAAGAATTCTGTAAAACATACAGGCTTTTTCAAGCAGTTGAATTGAACAATGTAGAGAAAGTTAAAAACCTGCTTCAACAAGGAGTAAGTGCAAACAGTACAGACTTTGAATTGCGAAGTGTATTACATGTAGCTGTCAGCAAAGGATACGCTGACATTGTGGAATTGTTGCTCAAATATGGTGCAGATCCGAACAAGAAGGATATGATACATAACACTCCTCTTCACTTAGCGGTTTGCCTTCATAACATTTCAATTATATCCATGCTTATAAACGCAAATGCAGATGTGAGTAGCCTAGATAATAATGGACGAACTGCTTTTCAATTAGCTTCGAGTAAGTTGAAACTGCTACAAAGTAGTTGGAGAGCAGGAACAATTGAGATGATAAAACTGAGAGAAGAAATGAAACAGGTTGGTGTTGCTACTTATTTTTTTTATTCAGTTTCTGTATGAATTTTTTCTCTGCAGATAGTGCACCAGAATATTAAAAAAAACAGTTTTGGGTCTCATTTCGTTTTTACTGTTTTGTTCTGTCCTAGTGGTAATTATTCCGTTAAATAATTTTCAATGAATGAATCTGAAGTCAAACTGTGGCACTCTGGTCTACTTTCGACTATTCAGGAACTCAGTTCTCATGATAAAAGCTCGTGAAATGACATTTTTTACTATCACATATTATGGACCTTTATTCACTTGTCACTTCTATATTTTTCATGAAGAAATTATATTTTTTTTCAACAAACAACTAAGATTGAAGAAGACGAGAAATGTTGCCTTCTTTTCTGTCATTTAAATTTTTCCTTTCATAACTTATAAAGAAGTAGAATTAACAAGTTGTATCCATTTGCGAGAATAAATAAACATTTACGTTATTGTATGAACACATTTTTTTTTGAGTATCGAATAGTTGATAAATACCACCTTCCTTTCTGTTGAAAATGAAGATGAGAAGTGCCCTTTTTTTCTGTCACTTCAAAAGTACTTTCCACAATTGAAAAAAAAATCTGAATTAGTAAGTTGTCTATTTGTAGTAATAAACCAGTACGATGTTCTATGCTTAAATATTGAAATGTCAAATCTGCTTCCTCATATTTCAGATTCAGTTTATACTAGATACCACAGGGCTTTCATTTGTGACCCCTGCTGTTTACCCTATTTATAAATGATGTTGACAATTCAGTTCATTACTGTTAATTCTTGCTGTCTTCTGATGACCTGAAGCTATATTTGCCTATCGAACGTATTGAAGATTGTCATAAGATACAGGATGATATCAATTCTCTATATGTTTGTTCTGAAAACAATGGGATGTTGTTAAATCTCTAAATTTATTGTCCGAACATTTACAATGTAGATATAGAAGAAGTTCTAAAAAAGTATAAATGTAAAGATAAAAAAAAGTTCCAAAAATGTATAAATGTAAATATAAAAAAAGTTCTAAAAGTGTATAGATAAAACACCACCATGTATAAAGTCATAGTTCAAGGAATGAACTGTTGATTTATTGTTAAAAGGATTTGCTAAAATACTCTTTCAAACTATAATAGGGTCTACCAACAAGTAGGTTTTTCACCACCTTTTTGAAATCAATGTTGCTTAGACTTGCAGATCTCATTTCTAATGGTAAATTATTGAACAACTTACCACCATTATAGTATATGGAATCCTTGATTAAATTCAAAGTTGGCATGGAAGTCTAAAGGTATAATTGATGTTAAGAGTAGCATAAGAAGTAGAAGCAAAGTTGAACTTAAATTTATGTTTATAAATAAGGCAAACCGTCTGTAGGATGAAAAATGCGATGACTTTTAAAATTTTATTGGCAGTGAACAAGTTCCTGCACGATTCTCTGAGTTTGACTTTACAAAGACATCTCAGTGCTCTCTTATATAATATCAATACAGAAGAGAGACGGGATGCTCCCCAAAAAGGTATTCCATAACGTAGTCGAGATTCAATAAGTGTATGGTAAACGGTCTTAGCTATATGGAAACAACTCATTTGAAACCACTCTGACTGCATAACATCCGGAGGAGATCTTACTCTTGGTTGTTTAAGGTGTTTATCAAATTTCAACCTGCTATACATACACCGAGAAATTTTGTGTTTTAATTTATTTTGTAATATGGCAGCATCTATTGGAATTTCATCAAGCGAACATTTGAATGATATATTCGTTTTTGATGCATTGGGAGATAGTAAATTGGCATCGCACCAGCTCTTCACCTTCTTCAAGTCGGATAATATTATTTTATTTAGCTCCACTGAGTTTTTTTTTATTCCTCAAAATTGTAGTATCATCCGCGAATATAGCGAAACTACCAGATATGTCAATCATAGAGATGTCATTCATATATAACAGAAATAGAATAGGGCCTAACACACAACCCTGTGGTACACCAGATTCAATGGCCTTGTTCTCTGAGAGTTACGTTGTCCTCACCATTTGACTCCGTCGAATCGTACGACTCAAACCAAGTGTTCGTTACCCCTTTGTATCCATATTTATGAAATTTTTGGCTACTTCACCAGCAGCCGTCACAACTTTTTATGATATTTCATGAAATAGCATCCGCAACTTTCTGCGATATTTCAAAGGCGATTGATTGCGTCAATCATAAAGTTTTATCAAAAAAACTTCATAAATATGGATTTGACGAACACTTAGTTCAAATCGTACCTTTCAGGACGGAGTCAAATGATGAGGACAACGGAACTCTCGGAATACTTGAATCTGGTGTACCACAGGGTTCTGTGCTAGGCCCTATTCTATTTCTGCTATATATGAATGCCATCTCTATGATTGACATAACTGGTAGTTTCACTCTATTCGCGGATGATACTACAATATTGTGGAATGAAAAGACTCAGTGGAGCTAAATATACAGATACATCTCAGTGCTCTCTTATATAATATCAATACAGAAGAGAGATGGGATGCTCCCCAAAAAGGTATTACATAACATAGTCGAGATTCAATAAGTGTATGGTAAACGGTCTTAGCTATATGGAAACAACTCATTTGAAATCACTCTGACTGCATAACATCCGGAGGAGATCTTACTCTTAGTTGTTTAAGGTGTTTATCAAATTTCAACCTGCTATACATACACCGAGAAATTTTGTGTTTAATTTATTTTGTAATATGGCAGCATCTATTGGAATTTCATCAAGCGAACATTTGAATGATATATTCGTTTTGGATGCATTGGGAGAGAGTAAATTGGCATCGCACCAGCTCTTCACCTTCTTCAAGTCGGATAATATTATTTTATTTAGCTCCACTAAGTTTTTTTTCATTCCTCAAAATTGTAGTATCATCTGCGAATATAGCGAAAGTACCAGATATGTCAATCATAGAGATGTCATTCATATATAACAGAAATAGAATAGGGCCTAACACAGAACCCTGTGGTACATCAGATTCAATGGCCTTGTTCTCTGAGAGTTACGTTGTCCTCACCATTTGAACTTACCACCATTATCGTACGACCCAAACCAAGTGTTCGTTACCCCTTTGTATCCATATTTATGAAATTTTTGGCTACTTCACCAGCTGCCGTCGCAACTTTTTGTGATATTTCATGAAGTAGCCGCCGCAACTTTTTGCGATATTTCAAAGGCGATTGATTTCATCAATCATAAAGTTTTATCAAAAAAACTTCATAAATATGGATTTGACGAACACTTGGTTCAAATCGTACCTTTCAGGACGGAGTCAAATGATGAGGACAACGGAACACTTGAATCTGGTGTACCACAGGGTTTTGTGCTAGGCCCTATTCTATTTCTGCTATATATTAATGCCATCTCTATGATTGACATAACTGGTAGTTTCACTCTATTCGCGGATGATACTATAATATTGTGGAATGAAAAGACTCAGTGGAGCAAAATAAAATAATATCATCCAACTTTAATAATATCACCAGCTCTTCACCTTCTTCTGTATAACGTTTGCTAGAATAAATAACAAAATCGTCTTCGACTATGTTCTTGATAATGTCAATATAAAAAGGCTCAATGAGATAAGAGATTTGGGTATAATATTTGACGTGAACCTTTGATTCACCACCCACATCAACAAAGCACTCAAACTTCTTGGTTTAGTCTTCCTAAATTGTAAGGATCTAACAGTGGATACCACCAGAATTGTTTACCTAGCCTATATAAGATCTGTTTTGGAGTATGCATCACCAGTCTGGTCTTCTCATTATACTGTACATATAAATAATGAAGCAGTGGAAAATAGATTCCTCAGACTTGTTGCCTTCAAATCTGGCCTCACAGTTGGAGAATATAATTATTTGGATATTCTTGATATTGCGACACACAATTTCTTTTCATAGAACTATAATAACGATATCATTCGCTTATTCAAAATTATATCAGGTGATAATAATTGTAATGATTTATGAAGTGAAGTCTCATTCCAAGTACCTGTTCGTTCAACTAGGAACAAGGATCTTTTTACTGTCCCTAATCACCATATTAATTATGGATATTTCTCAACCATGTCAAGGTTTATGCGAGAAGCAACCGTCTTAATTTGGATATTACAGAAATTTCACTGAATACTTTCAAAGAACAGTGTAGCAATAGAATTCAATATATAACCAGCTAGGATGATAATGTTAATTTTAAGATTGTATCATGTTAATCAGCAAACTCATTGTTTGCTCGATATACAAATTGACCATTTTTTAATGAGCTCTGATACTGGAAAATTACTATGTTTCTCTCAATCTAGCAAAATTACACTGATTTGTAACCCTTTTAGAATACGAATAATTTCAGGTGGTAGATTTATTATTATCCATACTGATGAGAGGCATAGAAGAAAAAATGGAGAAAATGAATAGTTCTGATGTTGACGATTTACAAATGATGAAACTATCTTTGAATTCTGGTCCAGATGAAGCTGTGGAGGAACAAATAGCAAATTTATTGGAAGAAATTGAGAAATTATAAGAGTTTTTTTACTGGATGATTTACAAGAAATGAGTACGGTTAGGAAATACCTTTATTTACGAGCTCACATGGTTTTTACAAGTTGTAGGCAACTTGAATTTTAATAAATTGATGAATGTAGCCCTTACTACGTGGTAGGACACCATCATGAACAATGATAATCAAAACTTTCTATGATTTTTTACCACTTTTTATTTATAACTAACGTTATTGCAGTTTCGTCCTGCGTATTCACCTGAAAATGTTCTTGTAGGACAAAACTGTAGTAACGTTAGTTACAAACACAAAGTAGTATAATAACATAGAAAGTTTTGATTCCCATTTTTCAACACACATTTTGTAAGAAAAAATTGTAATACTTTTATTCATTGAATCAATGGAAAACTGTTTGTCCTACTAAAAAATCGGACTGTATTTTAAGTTCAAAAGTCATATAGTTTTATTTATATAGGCAGCTTTTATATTAACGGATTTTTCATAAGTGGAATATATTGTACATATTTTAGTGGAGTTATAATTCTTATCATACTTATAGTATATTTTTGAGTCAAGAAAATGAGTATTTTCTGATATTGACTAGATCTCAGAATGTGTATTATTTGAATGATGCTAGTTTTCATTTCAATAAAAATGATGTGAATGCTGAGTTTTTATCATATATTTCATTTTTAATCCTTAAATTGTTATGTACATTTCCTTTAGAATCCTATATAACCTGTTATATTGATGATTTCTTGAAATAAAATTATTTTACAAAATATTTAGGAACTTGAGAACTCGTTTAAACCCAGTTGGTTGGCAGCAAGGGTGGTATATATACCTAAAGTGGGCTGGAGAGATCCACACCCCAAATCGGTACGACCAATCAGCCTTACATCCTTCCTGCTGAAAGGACTTGAGAGGATACTGGACGGACGTATCAGGAGGGTAGCATTATATGCATCCCCACTGAATAACCATCAGTATGCTTATCAAACCGGCAAATCGACAGATTCAGCATTAAACAACCTTGTTGAGAAAATCTTCTAATCCCTTGACAACAAGGAGATTACGGTTGCTGTATTTCTTGATATTGAAGGAGCATTTGACAATGCACTACCTAAATCTAAAGGATTGTCTCTGGCTTGAAATGGTAAAGAATCGACCATAACTGGCTGGATCTATGCCATGCTAGTAAACAGAACTGCAACTACGACTCTTCAAGGCGAGGCTATCAGGTTCAGGGTCACCAGGGGCTGCCCTCAAGGTGGGGTACTATCTCCCCTTCTGTGGTCGCTCCTGGTGGATAGTCTGCTTGATGCCCTCGACAGAACAAAAGTTGATCTGCAAGCTTATGCAGATGACCTTGTCATCCTGGCAAGGTCCACGTCGGGAAGGGTAGCTTGTAATATCCTCCAAAGCGCGTTGGACGTTGTTCACAGTTGCTGCCTGAGGAAGCAGATGTCTGTTAACCCCAGCAAAACTGTGTTAATCCCCTTCACCAAGAGAAGGAAATTGGACGATCTAACGCCACTTTCCCTCAATGGTGTTGTCATTCCATTTGGAACGGAGGTGAAATATCCCGTGTCAGGAATCACACGTTAAAAGGTAAGACCTCGTTAATCCTTAGCTCGCACAAGTTTCGACTTCTGAGGGTTGTCGTTCGTAGGGGTGCGACAGCTGGTTAACGGAAAAACAGATTTTAAACAGAGATCTTGGCATTGTCCTTGATAAAAGACTCGCTTGGAACGCTCACTTGGAAAAAGTGTTTCACAAAGCCAGACTGTCTCTATGGACATGTTGAAGGATTTGTGGTAAAACTTGGGGTTTAGGTCCCAAACAAATCCATTGGATTTATGTGATGATAGTCAGACCAATGATCACGTATGGTGCAATTGCTTGGTGGCCGAAGGCTTTACAGAAAACGGCCCAAGCGAAGCTCTCTGGCTTACAGAGATAGGCTTGTCTGGCTATCAGTGGTGCCATTAGTAGCACACCGTCAGCGGCCATGGCGATCCTTCTAGATCTACCTCCTCTCCACATTTTTCTGGAAAGAGAGTCTAGATGGACTGCATACAGACTTGTGTACATTGCCAATTGCACAAATCAACTCAATGCAGAGTGCAACAGACTGTTGGTTGACATTGGAAGTCACAGCATTCTGGAAATGACCTCTGACTTTATGCCTCCAACTGTCAACCACGAACTGCCTTATAAAGTACTATTCCCGAGTAGAGAGGACTGGATCCTGCGGGAGAAGGAAATATTAAGAGCAGATAGTTGTTGGTTCACAGATGGATCAAAAACACCTTCCGGTTCTGGTGCAGGTGTTTTTAGTCGCAGACCCAGGACAGAGTTACTTACCTGCCTAGGAACTTATGCGAGTGTATTTCAAGCGGAAATTTACGCTATTGAATTGTGTGCGGGGAGATTGGTTAAATCCAACCTCACTCACAAGTCAATAAAAATATTCTCGGACAGTCAAGCGACGTTGGCTCCCACCGAACAACGTCTAAATTGGTAGCAAACTGCCAAAAAAGACTCCTCAATAGGAAGACTAAACATATTGTCTCTGGTATGGATTCCTGGCCATATGGCCTGGAAGGCAATGAAGCTGCTGACTCTGCAAGCGGCTTCATTGGACCGGAACCTGTCATTGGCATCGCTTTGGGCTTTGCCAAACAAACACTTAACACCTGGATGGCAAGCAGAGTTATGGACTTCTGGCAGAATCATCCAGGATTGGCTCACTCCAAGGCGTTTATTCACCCTTTGAAGCTTGATTCCAAACAGTTGTTGGACTACATTAGGGATGAACTACGATGTCTAACAGGCCTTCTTACAGGTCACTGTCATTTGAATCATCATATGCAGAGACTTGGACTGTCAGAAGACAGTGTATGTCGTCTCTGTCTGAAAATTGATGAAACTGCAGAGCATACACTTTGTGCCTGCCCCGCTGGGGACCGAATCAGGTTCTTTCAGTTCGGCAGATCCGTACTCTCACCATCTGAATTGAAAGACCACTCACCATACAAACTAATCGGCTTCGTTAAGAAGCTGGGTTTATTTGGCCGAGTGTGAATAGGTGTGAGCCACAATAAACCCTTATGGGATGAGGTGGAGGGTCGAATAGACCCACTCACTTTAGACCTACCTACCTACCATTATCAGGTAATGACTAAAATTTAGGTGCATTTTTTAAGTCTTTAATTAGCGTGTTCGCCCTGAATATCAGATTCGAATATTGGGATGATTGTTTCTACTGTCGAGGCATTTTGTCCAAAAAACAGATTCATGGTATGTTCTGAAAAAATAGAAATATAGCCGTGAAGATTTCATCTGGTCCTGGAACAAAGTTATTTTTTGAGTTTGATTTATGAGAATGGTTATTTCGTTGTTTGATATAGCCTCAAGAAATATTGATGAACTGATATTACTATCATTGAAAAAATGTTCACATGGCATTATTTCTCAATTTTCACGAAAACATGGAAAACTTTGTCTTGTCTTTGTTATTGGCCAGATTATAGTTTAAATTTGACAGACTTTTTTATAGTTCATCTGATTTAATTTAGAGTTTTTTTCAGACTTCGTAATAGGTATGAGCCTTGTGTTATACAAAGTTTCAATGTATCGAATTTTTTAGTTTCACCATGTTTGCAAAGTTTTTTAATGTTATATAACTTAGGAATCATTACTTCATAGAACCTCTGTCTAGTTCTTCTCATTCAATAATTTGTGTAATATCTAAAAATTTATTTGGTTTGTAACAATTTCCATTCCAAGATTTTTTAATCTACCTTACGGACTAAAGATGAGAACAAATTCTGTTGTGAGAAGGCAACAGGATAATGAAGGAAATGAACTTGTCTCTCATGTTGAATAAAATGTCGCTAAGTATAAAAATTCATGTTCATCATAAATTTATAACATCATTAATTTGTTTTCTAATAATGTCTTGAAGAAAACAACTTGTTTTCTTTTCCTTAAATATTTATTGGTAATCTCTGAAGAATTTTTTATATGCATCCTCAGAAATATATGGATAATTCACCCTGGGAATCCATGAAGTTACAAGGAATTTTGTAATGATTTTTTTCTTTAAATCTGATTGATGTCAAAAACTTCATAGGTGAAGAGGATGTCACTCAAAATGAAAAAGCTTAAATGCCAAAAGAAGATATTTATTAACAAATAATACGTCAATAGGATATTAACAATGTTTTTATAGTTTTGATTATTTCTATCTATACAATATTCAAAATGTCTACAAATATTACAACAGGAGCTACGAATAGCCAAATTTGAATAATATTAAAGTTTTTTGATTATAACATACAGGGTGTCCTATTTTAATAAAATTTTTTCATTCACAATGTCAAGTTTTATCCAGTTAATACCAATTACCTTCCAACATCTCCAACAGACATTCATTGTATTATTGCACAAATAATGGAAGGTATGCTGGAAAATATCCAGAATTCTATGAATTTATATTACAAGAAATCGAAAAAACTAGACACCCTGCTAATAAAACAATGTTTAAACCATATTCTTGAAAAAAAAAGAAATATTGCAAACCCTTATAGTAATCTTTAGATTGTTTCATTAGTCCAATCAAAGGTTAAAACTGTATTGGTATTGGTATAAAATTTCCCTCCCCAATATTTGAAGTATATCAAGGTCAATGGTTATCAAAAGATTTTTTATAATACAAGACTCCAACCATTCTTACAATAAAGGTTTTTATAATAATTTCTGATAATTGTAAAGGCTGACGTACTTGTACTTTATAGCGACATTTGAAAGTCTTCCCCGATTTTTTTTTGTAAGAATAAGTAGTATCAACTCTCATTATTATTACAATCAATATATTATTAACGATGATATAACACATTAAAGTTTTGGCTAAGTTTTTAATTTCTGTGAAATACCTTATAATCTTAGTTGAATTAATTTAAAAAGCTAGATGTAGATCCAAAAGCACTATTGGTCTAATTCAAATCTAATTTCAAGAAATATAAGTGACGCTTTCTATTATTGTCGACTCCACTAATTCTGATAAAATTAAATTCTATGTTTCAAAAGCCATTTAATAATGATAGTGCCAAAATACAAAAAAACTATTTGCCTAGTTTTTGAGCACATTATGACTTATTATGAACCTTTTGAAACCAGGGACAGAAAAACAATACAAAAATCCCAATTGCTAACATATCCTTCATTGAATTTTGAATTACATGTAATGTTACAAGATCTACTACAGTTTGATTTTTCTCTTGAAGATGATCTGATGATCACTTGGTGATCGAAACACCTGTTGAGGTGTTAAAATAACGGTTTGGTGTTGGGAAAATCTACCAGCTTCACCTCCATTCACAACTGTCTTCGATTTGTCTCAGACCTACCTCGTATAAGGTTCCTAGAATCCAAAACATCACTAACTCCTTTTAAAAATCCAATATTAATAAAAAGAGTGTAAAGAAATGTGAAATATATAAGTAGCATGACAAGTGATGTTGGAGGATAAGTTATTTGTCGGTGACCGTGCTAAGAATCGCACATTAAAGACCTCGTTAATCCGTAGCCCGCACAACTTATTACTTCTGAGGGTTGTCGTTTGTAGGGAGCGACAGCTAGTTAACGGAAAAACAGAAATGGATTATTCACTGAAATATCGTGTAATACAATTCCTCACGAATTGTTTCAAGTATGAAAAGAAATTATTTTGATTTGTTTCATTTAGTGCCAGAACTGGGATTTTAAGAACCCATCGACCACTGGGCTGATACCATTGTGCTTCATCATTGAAATCGAAAACTTGGAAGTTTGGGTTTGGCAAGCCAATGTAAGCTCCCTTAATTTTCTGATCTGGTTTTTCAATCAACAAAAATTATCACAATATTTGTATATGTATATACGAGATAGGTTAGAGAATTCTAAAAAGCTTACTAAGGAAAAAATTTGATTCTATTACCTAGTGACTTCAATTGGAGGAATACTATATGATTTGATTTTCTTAATGGTGTTTTGTTCATTGAGAGCCTTCGACAACCAAGTATCTTTGTTTTGTTCAAAAAAGTTTTTGATAAAAGAACCTACGTACAGCTGTCGGATTGATTCATGGCCAGTGAGAAGCCCTTTCCTCAATCTGTTACAAATATTTGAAAATAATATCGGTTTTCTGAGAAATAGACATCACCAAGTAAAGGTGCAGTCTCTTAGGAATACATAGTTCCTTGCTGGGACCCGTGTAACCTCGCTATGTCTTTCCTACTAGGACTGCATATATTTTCTTTGTAATGTCTTTTTCATAAAGTTTTATGGACATTTTATATAACTTTGAAATTGAACTCAATTTTCGGTGATATTCAATTCAAAATTTCACTAAATTTTCCAATATCATAATCAAACCTATGTTAAGATTTATTTGAATATTTTACTCAAAAAATGAACTTAATGGGATGGTACATGTAGTTTTTAAGTGCCAAAAACGGCAAAATATGAATGAAAGTAGTAACCATGTAATAATAAAAATAATACTAATGGGTGGAAGAATTAGGAACTATATAAAATAATTTTTGTATCTATTAGTGAACTAAACTCAACTTCAAACCCCAAAAACTGTACTCTGATAAATGTTTTTAATTTTATAGACAAATTGTTGAGTATAAGTTGAGAAATCTTAATCCACAATAATAAATTCAATTACATCTTTCAATCAGTTCATTATTACCTGTCATAGAAAATTATCCCAAGAGTTAAAAATGCTTCATTATTTCTAAATTAGATAAAAACTTAGGTCAAATTTCTATTATCCTATACAACTGAAACGTTATGAAAAAATCATGTATTTTCACAAAAATTATTAAATTAACAGAAAATAATGTTTGAATAAATTTTGTTGACATGAAACCGAACATTCCTGTTATTTAACGAAGTGAAAACACATGCTTTTGTTCATTTTTGATTCGCAATAGGATTTTAGACTAGATCTCACAATCTAACAAATGTTAATAGAAGTTTTTTCAATTCAACAGATTTATAATTTGATCTGAAGTCTCAAATTATCGAACAAATTAATTTTCATTATCGACTGAGGAATAGGTACAATATTACAATAACAAACTCTGAATACATACATCAACAAAAAATGATACCACAATTGAAAATAAAGAGCTCACCCCATTTTGTGTCATGCATTTCATTGTCATTTGATGAGGATTTAAGTAGAATATTTCAATATTTTTACACTTTATTTACAATCATGGCTAAATGTCTCACACTTCAACAAAAAAATAAAATAAAATCGTGGCAAGAACGTATCAGTTACTTCAGAACAAAACTGAAGTGGGATTTCTTAAAAAATAATAAACTTTGAGCCTTAAATGCAAAACCCCTCTCTCTGAAAGCTTGGAATCATTATTGTCAGTATTATATTGAAAAATGTTTAAAAATCTTTCACAAATTGAGTGGGCACACTTGAAGAACAATTCATTCAGGCCAGTCCCAAATTACCTACACTATAGGTCAATGGATTGAAACCATCAGAAAATAACTACTCCCCTGGCTAATACTACGAAGGGTGTTGGATTATATCCGACAGGTGTCAGTGCAGGATTCTTCACTGAAGTTATTCCTGCATATGATGTTGACGATAAAACTGCTGCAATCAATTTTAAATTATTGGAACACACTTGCAGACCGGTTTCGGGCTATTTGGCCAATCGTCGGTGCAAGTGTCTATCACCAACATAAAGTCAATGATTTCCGATAATTGAAAATTGAATTCCTTCAGAATATCATTCTTCGAACTAGGCTGAAGTGAATGACAAACAACATGTTTGTCATCGCCCCATCTGCCTGTGAACGAGGTAACCAACCGAAAATCCGAAATTTGGCCTATTCTTCACAAATTGAGTCAACGTAAATCAATTACCCTTTTTCAACATCCCACCATACAACAAAGACATTTTTTGTGTGTATAAAAACTGTTTTGTTGTGTATATAACCCTCCACAATCTGAAAGATAAACCTGAAAGTATATCTGAAAAAACGAAAGAGTGTATTTACAATATTCCTTGTTTCTGTGGAAAAAGTAATATAGGTGAAACCTCAAGATCCTTAGATGTGAGATAAAATGAATATATTGAATATATAAGAAGACAGATAACAGGATCGGGGATAGTGGAGAATATTATAAAATCATGTAGTGATCACACTATAAAATGGAGTGGAACAAAAATTATAATCAAAGAAACTCATGAAAAAATTAGAAAACTCAAAGAATCCACATATATTCTTCCAGCAGGTAACAAGTATATTTAATGATAATAAAAGTCTTCATTCGCCTGATGTAACAAACATAAAGAAACAAATAGCTCTATGAAAACGGACCGTACCTAGTTACCATTGTTAAGAGGTTCAAAACAGAAATATTGATCGCAACTGAATTCTCAAAAACATCCTGTATATTTATTCATATAAACTATTGCATGTGACATACGGACATTTCATTCTTTTGACGTATGTCACAAGAAATACAGCTATTCACAATTGAAGCGGAAGTTTTGAAGTGAATTTTTGGTTTTGAAAACAGGAAAAAATTATTTTCCAAAACGTTGACTACTAAAAGTAAAATTTATGAATAAGACAAATCACTGACTATGTGGACTCTTCAGTGGCTCATATTACACAGTAACTTTTCAGGGTGAACTAGTTTGCCATTTTCTAGACTTCAACAGTTTTTCTATTGATTTAGCTTTGTTCATTTTTCAGATTGTGGAAGGTTACATACCCAAAAAAAGAGTGAGAAGCAATAAAAATAATTTAGTCTTTTCCTAAAAACTACTGGTAACGAAACATGGTAACTGAAGACGACTGACAAGATATTAGGATTTTTTTCATGAAATTGAACAACAGCTTGATTATCAAAAATAATAAAAATCAAGAAAGTGTTTCGGATCATGTTTTTAAAAAGTCTTGGATTCATCTAGAAGGCAGACAAAGAGTATTAAGTTAAGAACAGTCCGATTGCAATATTACAATAACAAAGACTTTAAAAAACTAATCAATACAATTAATTGTATGATTTTCACTATAAGGGTTTTACAAAAACCGTGACACGTGTTTCGCTATACAATAGCTTCTTCAAGCATAACTACCTGCGAGGTAAAAATAGTTAGGTATATTTACAGGTAGACTTTAGAAAAATGTATTGATACCTGTCTTTTTCAGGTAGATTTATTATTTAGGTAGACGAATAGGTACTAGGATATAGTATATAATGGTGTAATATAGAAAAAACCCTAGGTAAGCCTGAAAAAACCAATGGAAAACCAAAAAAACGGCCCCGGTTTTGGAAAAACCCTAAAAGGAAAAACAAAAAAATAAAGGAAATGAATAAGTTTTTAAAAAGGAATTTCAACAAAGAACCGCCAAGTCCAATCAAATAAAAAAAAACTTGGTGAAAAGTAATTAAAAAAAAAAAAATTTCAAACAACTTAAACAAGCCTTAAGCCCAACTAATCTTAAACTATTAAAGAAATACCTTCCCGAAAAGTTACCATTAAGCTTCCATTTTTTTAACTGTTTTGCACAATGCTTTAGAGAAGGAGATCATCCCAAGTTGGCAAATCTCTATACAGGTACATTCATATTTTGCTAAGAAATAATAAGTAGTTTGTCAACAAAGTTCTTACAAACCTGCTTATCCGAATTGAAAGGAAGCATTTAGCTTAACTTCTGACAATGATACCAAATTATCACAGTGGACTAGAGGCCCATATGTAGCCTTCTAAATGTTTCACTAACTCTTTATTTTATCGTGAACCACCCCTGAAAAGTTCAAGCAAATTTGTTGTTGAGAGTGCAAAATTTTTGTAGAACTTATATATTATGTCAAAATAAAAATGTAAGGTATACTTCCTAGGAAAGTAAAACTATAAAAAAATATTCATATAGTCAGAAAATAAATAAAACTAACAAGAATACTTTTATAAAAGTTACCAAGAATTGTGATCTTAACCAATTAATGTACCAACTGACAATAAATTCTGTTTTTTCATCAAATTTAATGTGAATTCAAAATGCTACATATAAATACTGGCGTTTTGAGCTACCTATCGGGCACGTCCCCAGGTGGCGGATAGGGGAACGGCCAGGGGACTGTAGGCCCTGTCCGGCAAGCCAATGTGGCCAGGGTCGCCGGATTCCTGGTCAGTGGCAGAAATAAGTAGACTGAGGGAAACTAAAATTCCCCAAAAGCCTTTACAAAACATGCCATCGTGGACCAGCCTACCCAAGCTAAGGTATAAGGAATCGTGACGACAGCTGAATGGCCGCAGTTATGGTATGCGGTTACGAACGATCCCCTTGGGGAACTGGGCGAAACTTCATTGTAATGCGGGGCTCTGCCAGAGGAGCCAACTCTTCCCATAGTACTCGTGGGAACATTTGTGAATGAAAAACACAAAAAAGGAAACAGCAAGAACTAATCCCGAAGCTGGACAGAAGTGCTCACCTCAATCTAAGGCGGTGGCTGCGGATGAACAGAAATGTCCATCACAATCTACAGATTGGAATGAGTCTGGACACAGCAGATCACTACAAAGGCCAAGGTGTAAGCGCATTTGCGGCGCCGAGGCCAAAAGGAGAAAGAGAGTGAAGAAGGCAGGAGTGGCAGCAACTATAAGTGCACCCTCCTCCTCCCCCACGCCACCTCCAACAGCAACCGCACTTTCTGCGGCGGGCGCCAAGAGCTCCGCCTTGAATAAAGGCAAGGAACCGGCTGCCCCTGCAGAAAAGCTCTCTCACTTGTGCACCTCCACGGAGGGAACCCCAAGAAGGTTGAAGAAGCCGCGCAAAGACAGTAATATCGCTGCACCTTCCAAAACCTTCGCGGAGGCCACCATGACACACCTCAAGGTTACCAAAGAGAGTGTGTGTTCGGCGAGTCTTGGCCTACACCTGCAAATATAAAGGAGATGTCTCCTAGTGACCTGTCCACCTTCCTGGAAAGGACACGATGAACGATGACCTAGGAGGACAACTCCTCGAGAGGATGTACAATGGGTCACATGTGGCCTAATTGCTGTGGGTCTACACTCACCCTCCCTACTCTACAGAACTGGAAGAGGTTTCCTCTTAGACAGACCGCTGATGATTAACAGCTATGATTACTATCTATGCAAATTTTCGTTTATTTTGTACCGTTAGAATAAACAATCCAGAATCAGCTGTTAGCTATTGGGTTACAATGTCAGTGCTCCTCTGGAGTTGAACCGTTCTTCTTGTGATTACTTCCTCAGAAATTTGCTTGAGGCAAGTCAAAGAAAATTTTCAGGTTGAATTGAGACCATTGCCTGACTTTCATTACAATTATTATGACTCTTCCCCTTGCTGATCTCAATTGAACAACCCTTGCTTTTGATTTAATTCTATTATCTTGAAATGAATATAATAACGAAAAATCGTTTATACTGTCTAAATTCTACCAAAAAAATGTCCAAAGAAAAGTTTTCTACAAAATTGATTCAAATGTCTACCTACTGCCACTTTTTACTCTCATACAGATCTGCTTGACTAACAGATAAATCATATAAAATGAAAAACGGGAATGAATTTTATCTTATAATAGTGGCGCCTATATTTACCCCAAAAGTTCGAGCGCGTAATACAAACTCAATGAAATCATTATTATTCAAGTGACTAAACAGTTTCAATACCCTCTCAACTGAAGTGAAAAAATTCATCCAAATATATTACTATCAACTGAAAATATCTGTAAAACTGAATTATGAAAAACGTTTGATGTTCTGAATTATTTTTACTTTTTTGACAATATCAAAAATGTATGTATAGTAGGATGATCCTAGTTCTAAATAAAGCATTCAGCGGTGGCTCGTCAGAGGAGGCTATTCATCGCAATAAATTAAAAGGTATTGACAAATAATTATGATTTTTTTTTCTAAATTGTAAATGTAAATTGTTTTAGTGTTTCTTGATAATATTTGTTATTTGTGTATAAAACAGGCAGTATTATATAATAGCAGTGCTTTTTGGTAATATTTTTAATGTGTTTTTAAAGTGTTTTCTTTCAATTTCAAGGTGTTTTCAAGTTTTCACTTTTCGGTAAGTTTTTTTTTTCATTTATTATGGATAAGTTAGACGAAATTAAAAAATCAGACGATATAGTCGATTGATTGCTGACAAATAATTTTAAGTCTTTATCTTATGATAATAAATTTTACATTATTAAAACTCTGGGAAGGCCTCAACTAAATTTGATTTCAATTAAATCGTCAGATAATCGACAAAATCGTAGATTTAATGGTACGATAAATGTGATTGGTTAACCGGCTCCATTAAACAAGAAAAACTTTTTTGTTGGCCTTTATTTTCCGTACATACCGAATACCAAACGTGGTCTAAAATAGGATACTCCGATTAAAAAAATTTACCTCGTGTTATGGGGCAAATATGATTCACAATTTGGCACTTTTTTAAACGGTAGCGTTTTTTCGGGCACCTCAAAAACCATCCAAAATGAGCTTATTATAGACAGTGAGGCATACATTATTAAGGAAAATATAAGCAAGGAGATTGAAAGTGTTTCTTTTTTTGCATGGGAAATTGATGAAACTACCGATATTACCTGCACATCACAACTTTCAATCGTTTTTAGATATGTCAAAGATGGTAATGTGGTAGAACGTTTTATGGGTTTTCATGATGTTTCATCTGGGCGCACAGCTGACGATTTGTTTAATTTTTTAATTCAACTGTCCTTTCATTCATTTTCCTGACTAAATTATTATCACAAAGCACGCGTGTCTTCTGCCTAATAAAATTTTCCTTCTAGTGATTAGTGGCAAGAATCCGATGTAAATGAGCATTTCTGCCAAAATTGCTTTGTGCCAAAATGATTATTTTTTCCCATTTTCTTTAATTTTTTTAATTGTACCCAAACATATGACAAACAAAATGTTCTTCCGAATGTCATTTTAGTTTTATATTCTTATAGAGGGTTCTCAAACAAACATTTTGAGTTGATAATAAAATTTTAGAGAAAAGATGCGAATTTCTGTCGATTCAAAATGGTTATATTGGTTATATTTTATATTACCCTAAATCTGAAGTTTCATGAAGATCAGTTCAAATTGAAAACATGGAGAAAACTACCATCAGAGAATAACAACTCTAAATGCTTCAGAATTTGACATACTTATCTAAACATTTGAGTGAAAAATACGAATATGTAAACAGTTTTTTCAAATTATTTTTTTTATGCCATCTAGCGAAGTCAAATTAGGATATAATTGAAAAACTAAGAATGATAGATGAAATCTGTCAACTACACTTGAATGAGAATATTTATTTTATTCTGCATGAATAATTCTATGAAGATCTCTTCAAAGTTGCTGCTTGTTGATAATTTTCAAAATTCTAAAAGTGTAGTTCTCAGAGATTCATGAGACGAAATTACTAATATTGCAGTATTATATTTTACGATTGAAGTCCACAAATCTCTTTTATTATATTTTTTTTCTTTTATCTTAAATGTACCCGAATTTATGACAATTCAAAATGTTCATAGGAATGCCCTCTATGAGAATATTGTAAAACCGAAATGACATTTAGACATACATTTTTAATGGTCATTTGTTTGCATAGAATTAGGACAACCAACAATTTTTTAAATATAGTAATAGTAGCATTGATTTATCGTAGCAGTAGGGTTCACATCACTTGCAGGTATGAAACAGCATAAAGAAGGTTTCATTTCTTTATGGTATTCAGAGTACATCACCTTACCTTCCATTGACAAGTATACTTTTATAGTTTGGATAACTGGAGTCTTACTGTAACTTAGAAGTTTCAGAGATATTATATTTTTATATTAAGAATGAATCTTATGATCTGAACATCAAATTTTTGAGAAACGGTGACTTCTACAAAAAAAGAAGCATAGATAGATTTTTTCTGTAGAGAATATTATAATAAAAAAGCTAACAACTGATTTTATCATATTGGTGATAGTTTTGGAGATAATGAAACATTTGAAACAGTAGAATTTGCTTAAACTTTTCAGGAATTTTTGCCCATCATAAAAAATTGAGACAGCTGCAATTTTATTAATACGATGACCCGTTACTGGGTGAAAATGAGTAACACTATCCATGATAATTATATACAATTTTCACAGTAGCTTCATCTGTTGAACTGATGAGGCTATTGTGTAGGAAAACATGTCTTGTGGATATTGTATAATTATTATCATGGACAGATGCAATTTTATCAGCCCTGAGTTATCAACCGACAAAAATGAAAAATATTTAAAGAAAGGGGTAACTTTCTCAAATTATACCAAAATTAAAAATTTATAATTATTTGCAACTTATAACAATAAAATAAAACTTCACAACCTTGAGTGCAATTCTAACTCAACAATATTTTGATTCTAGAGAATATGCCGGGATCACAGAAACGTTGCTAAATACTATCGAGCCGAACAATTAGAGGCTCAAAAGTTGACAGAATCACAACCTTGGATTTGTTTTTCAAGCTTTCGTTATTGCTCGAGGAATGTTTTGATCAAGGAACCATAATCCTACCTAGAGAAGGAAAAATCTCGGCCTGAATTGGCCCGTACTCGACCTGTTCGCCATCCACTGTCATGTAGCCTGTCTCTCCTTCGTCCGGTTCAATCCGGAACGCCCGCACGGGTAGGAGCTCGATTGCCCCCTCTTGCGACTTCGACACCGCGTGAGCGCCCGTGCTGAGGCCTAGTAGAAAGTGCAACAATTGAGATCTGGTTGCGCCTGCGTGGACTATCAAAAGCCATATTCTTCCATCATTCAGAGTGGCCTCCGGGGCGAAGAATAAATCTTCTCCTAGGTGACTCTGATAAGAGGCGTGGACCATGACGAAACGCCCCGAGATGCACTTCCACGTGGAAGGCAAAGGGGCCGGTAGGCATGGTATCTGAGGGGCGGGGCCGTACATTCTTGGTTTTTCTGTAGCGGCTGGGACATCCCCCGCAGCGCTGTCCGAGGTCGATTGATAGGAGCTGCAAGTGGTTGAGAAATATGCGCTTTTGCGGGAATTTGCGCTGTACCATGAGTCAACTCTTGGTCTTCCTGAAAATAAGAATATTCGAACATTGACAAAAGAAATAGTGCATGTTCAATTTATTTAAAAATATACTTTATTGTCCGAAGAATGAATTCTTATTGACAAAGCCTGGTGAAGAATATAAATGAAATCATAGAAAGTAAATACACAAAAAGTAAGTGTTAACATGCACTGAAAAGAGACCTGTAAATAAAAATAATCCAATAGAAACGTTCAGAATATAAGAACATGGCCAATAAAATAAAATAAATTAATTTAAATTGAATCAAATCAATAAAATACTGTAAATATTACAGTTAATCATACTCAATTAAAATTAACATCGTAGAATTCTGCTAAGTTATAATAAGGTCTCATTGAATGCAAGTCTTTCAAGCCTTTCTCAAGAGCGCTAAGGTCATTTATGGTTCTTGTAGCTTGAGGAAGATGATTGAACATTTTGAGACCGTTATAAATAATGGAATCTTTAACTAGGGTCGAAGAAGGCAGCGGTAATTTTAAGCTGAATCTTTGCTTGGTTCTATACACTGGCTCGTCCAAGTTGTTAAACAAGTTTCTATTTTTAAAGAGAAGGCAGATCGTTTCATATATAAATAAGGATACCACAGTTAGGATTCTGTTAGAGATGAAAAGAGGCCGACTAGGGTCCTTAGGTTTGGCTTTACATTTGCACCGTATTGTGCGTTTTTATACCAATAATACTGAATGAAAGCAAGTGGTAGAATACACACCCCGAAGTCAAATATCATAACGAAGATGGGATAAACCATTCTAGCTACTGCAGATCCGAGCTCTGATGCAGTTACTCCTATTGCATAACATCCTGATGAGAGCTTCAATTTCGAACTATCTACATGTTTGTTGAATTTCAAATTATTATCATTGAACGTGCTAAGAAGTGTTTACATTATTAATTTGAATATTATTTAAATGTACAGTTGGAATCTGGTAACGGTAGGACACTACTTTTGTTTTTGATAAATTCAAGCTCAAGAGATTTGAGTCAAACCAGTCTTTCACTTTCGTGATGTCGCTCTCAATAAAATTATGGTTTCATCAGCAAATAAAGAAAATTTACTTTGGATGTTAATAGACCATAGGTCATTAATGTAAATTAAGAATGAAAGTGGGCCCAGAATCGAACCTTGTGAGACGCCTCAAGTAATTTTGCCTTCATTTTAGTATGGAGTGGTTTTGACCATCTGGGTGCGATCTGCTGAGTATGACTTAAACCACTTGAGACTTATTCCAGATATACCGTATCTACTGAGTTTCCGTAAAAGAATCTTATGGTTCACGCAATAAAATACTTTATGTTATCTGGCATGTAGTGATAGGCCCCAATTGAAGAAGAAAGAAATTTCATTGCCTGCTTAGTGTTTGGAGAGGTATATGAGTGGTGTGATGTGTCTCGCTCGACTGGAGGCACATTGATTATTGTTCCGGGCAATACGTTCGCTGTTGATTGTGTACTGACCTTGGCTTTGGATATGATGGTTTTCCATGCAGCTACGATTGACAGCGATTTGTTTGATAAAATTCAGTTCTTTTTGAAAAGTAATTTCTGACGGTGGAGTATTCAATATTCATTCGGTAGATATTATAAAAAAAAGCGTGAATCAAGTCATTTAGAATAAAATAGAATAGAACTTTATTTAGTTTTTACCTTAACACAGGTAAAATTATTAGTCACCATGTAGGAAGAAGGTCGTATAATTCAAATTGTTATTATATAAAGAATAAATTAAATAGAATTTAGTCGGTATGCGAAACACTTGTTGCGGTTTTATAAACTGTCCAGTGAAAATTTCATAGTGAAGTGTTACTTGAATTAGTCGTAGATTCTAATAAGTATTGGCTATTTCCATCACATAATTGATTTACAGTATCATCCAACCTCTTGTCCTCTATAATTAATTTGTCCTGAAAATTGAAAGTAGCAATTGAATTCATTCAACTACCTTGTTATAATAATTATATATTATTGACAACTTCTCCAATAAAGTAATTAAAGTTAAATTGTTTTTAGTAACCTTTCCGAACATTTCCACCTTTCTCCATCTGTGGAAGGAGAAAATTCAATAATCCAAGAAGATTCATTTTCAAAACTACAAGAACCACAAATTTTTACTTGTAAAACACATTGGTTCCAACTCATTATTGCAATTAACTAACGAATTTGAAAATAATGTAATCCCAAAGAGACACTGCTTCCAAACACAGACTTGCAACTCTTTTCTCGGACCATGTTTCACCAACCAAGTCATCAAGAGATGAACAAATTCATCTCCAAATGACTCCAGGTCCAGGTGCCATTGGTTCCAGAGTTCTAACTTCAAAATAGTTGTAAAAGTGCTAGCTCAGTATGCTGACTTATATTTTGAGTAATTGAATGAAATTATTTATTTATGAAATGTCACGTCTTTTATGAAAACCTAGAAATATATAATATTAATTTGAAGGAAATTATTGACATGAAAATATTTTGGATAATTTATTCCTTCATTTGTATATCGTTCAAAGGTAAAGTGAAAAAGATAAGATATTATGAAATGTTACATTTTTCAAAAAACTAAGAAATATATAATAGTAAATTTAAGAAAATTATTGACATATGAAAATATTTTGGATAATTTATTCCTTCATTTGTATATCGTTCAAAGGTAAAGTGAAAAAGATAAGATATCAAATGTTCAAGGCCACTGAATTTTCTTGACCTCATTATCATTACAGATTTCAATAATCCACGTATACAATATGGGGATTATTTAAATAATACTGACCAATTCACATTTCCTACTACTAATTTAATACTATGGTATTCAATTTATGACATTTGTTCCCATACAATTTATAGTCAATTTATCTTAAATGGTGAATCCATTAATAATTGAATAGATATAAAACTATACACAATATAAACTGTTTTCATATCCAACAACATACACATTCCTCGCTCCGTGTTTCACCAAACAATCTGCCATCATGAGGAGATGATGCCATGTAATCAGCAATTATGGAAAAAACTTTGCTGCCACACGTTTCATGCACAAAAATTCCGAAAAAATTGCAAGGCATTAGCCAACTGATATGCCGACATCCTCAGCAACTTCTCTAATAATGATTCGACGATTCTACATAACAATTTTCTACACTTTCTCAAAATTTTCAACGGTTGTTGATGTGCTGGGGCGTCCAAGGTAGCGTCGTCATTCACATCTTCTCGACCTTCTGTGAAAAGCTTGTATTGCTTCTAAACATTTTTCTGGCTTGGAATACAATCACCGTATGCCACTGTCAACATTTCAAGGATTTTTGAACCCTTTATTCCATTTTCAACATAAAATTTGATGCAAATTCTCTGATCCATTTTTTTCGATAGCAGAAAATCGCCAATCACGCAAAACACTTTCAACTTTTATGCCTCTCACCAACAAATTAAACAGACTAAACACCTGAAACTGTGAACATATGTTCGAGACGAGTGTACCAACATATAAAATAAAAAATCGCTAATCGAATGTACGTAGCCCGTAAAATTATGAAACGATGTGCTGTAAACATCTTAAAAGACTGATTTAGAAATTGACTTGTAGAGCAGAAATGAAAGGCCTTGTTAGTATTTCCGTGGCGGGTTGGCAGTCCTTGTTCATCTTTCACTGCCTGAACCACTGTGCATGCTGTTTTTGGCGAGTGCATTGGCTTGGGATGTGGGGGTTGAACAAACTGGCCATCGGATCCCTGCTTCCACGTAGCCCCGCTGTGCTGGATACGGGAATGACAGAATCACTTGTGGTAAATACTGGTGTCCCTCAAGACTCAATATTGGGACCTGTTTTCTTTATAATATGAATAAATGAAATGAATGAATAAACATATGAATAAATTAAAATTAAATGCAGATAAAACAAAAGCTACAGTGATAACAACTAAATATAAACTGAACTCTATTGATTATAATGAAATAAAAATTGAAATTGGTAACACTACCTTGGAATATGTGTCTGAAATAAAATAATTAGTTATTATGTCTTGTAAGATTAGGATGTATCCTATAATAAAGATTACTACTACTACTATAATTTTTATCAATGATATGGTGTACTCATGTTCCAATGCTCGAAAAATTGTCATGTATGCTGATGACACTAATATTCTCATATCAGATAATAAATTGAAAAATGCTGTGAGCAGAGCAAGCATTTGTGGTAATGATTTTCACAAATGGTGCTCGTTCGATAGACTATTAGTTAACCTATCAAAAACATTCTTTATGGTATTCACAACAAAAATATAAATCGTGATATGAGTTTTTTAATACGAGTTCATTAAATTTCTGGTTGTCAAAATAGATCAGAAAATGACATGGGAACCTCATATCAATAATCTAACAAATAATATGAGTACAATTTGCTCCATTATCAATCATCAATATCGTTAGACACACTAAAATGAGCTTACTTTGGACTTGTACAATCTGCATTGAGCTGCGGACTGATTTTTTGGGGAAATTCAGTACACATGAATAAAGTCTTCATCATCCAAAAGAAAATATCAGATGTATGGCTGGTGTATTCACACAACTCTCTATTTAAACAGTTCCTTCACTTTACATAGTTTTGATTACCATCAATGTCAAAAAAGAAGAAAAGCTGAGTGAAAGATGTGATCTACACAAATACAGTACGAGAAATAGTGAGAGCATACACCAGACATACTCAAGATTGAGCATTGGTCAGGACTCTCACATATACCAAGGAATCAGGTGCTACAACCGACTTATGAATATATTCCCGCACTTAAGCTCAGCGAGTTCAAATGTGTTGAAGGATAATCTGACTCGTTATCTAATAAATCAATCCTTCAACTCCATTGAAGAGTTTTTAGACGCTACATTGTAGACAATTTTGATCCAACTGTATGTATAATTTTCATATTTTAAGTTGTATATTTCTGACTTTTTTTTGCGTTGTGACTAGTCCGATAAGTTTTTTGCATGAATCTATGTATTCTCTCGTATATGTAAATTCTTCAGTGACGAATAAATAAAATTCTAAATTCTAGCGATCCGCCCCAGCTCCGCACGGTGCAATGCTGATACTAAATATAAATCCACCCATCGGAAGGGCATCGAGAAACAGTGATGAAAAGATAATTGTGTTTTATAGATGCGCTCCAGTTGGAATATTAAAAAATCATTTCTTATTGCACATCTACAGTATTAAATTAACTTATATAAAAAAATTTCAGTCTCCGAAAATATACCAGTGTGGAGAAACAATGATGAAAAGGTAACAAATGAGTTTTGATTGATTTACATAAAAGTATGTGCTTTATCCAATTTTTCCTTTGATTAAAATGTTTAAGGAATTAGGAAGATTTATGATACTTTATGTATGTTTCTAACTTTTGAATTTATAGCATTATAAAAAATTTACTTTGTTGACACCTTATATTTCAACTTACCAGTTTGAGTTTCCAAATTGACTTCTGCAGGTAGATCCAAATTACTACCAATATTTAACGTGGACGAGTGGTAATCTCTCGTGCTGGCTGGAGGAACATCAGAGGGCAAGTACCATAATTTTCCACCATAACTTCGGAGTCCAATTAGCCTGGCTATGGACCAAATGACAAACCTAAATAATGAGTTAGTTAATAATGAATAAATATTATTGTTACTAAGATTTTTGACAATCGAACATGTCACCAACCTCTGTCCTCCAAATAAGCGCAATCTCTCGCTCTCAATATCAATGTCCGACAGCAAACCCCATCCAACTGATAAGAACGAGAACATGATTTGAACATTGGTCTCCACCCTCACCAAATCCATTGGGGCATAATCGTTGCGAACAGCTGCCAGTGCTGATGGAAGATATGGGGTTGGCAAGTATGGCTCCGAATAATAGTGAGCAATGCTACGGGCCAAACCGTTGCCGGAACCTCCGGGTACTACCCCCACAGGGATAGATTTTATGATTTCAGACCAATCCCACCGTTCAAAAATGCCGTTTATTACTTCGAACAGTATTCCGTCACCACCTACCTGGAAATTGAGCAGATTTCACAGCATCTACAAAAGTTATGACAAATATTAATATCAATTATCCCTCACCAGAACAAAAATAATGTCTCACGACACACTCTTCGCTAATCAAATTTAGATTAAAACTTTTAGCGAAACGCATGTCTTCAGACAATATTTATGTCTGGTGTGGGAAAACTTTTTTCAATAGAATCAAGTAACAAATGATGTTGGATTTTTTTTTTTAACAAATACAGTGATTTTGTCAAGTGAGGTTTAGTTGTAAAATATTTCAACTAGGAGAAGTAACAGATTCACTACCGCAGCTATATTATTGTAATCAAAGTAGCCAAGGCCGTGAATTTGTTTATCTGTCGTGAGAAACATAAATTTTTCACCGATTGTTTGTGCAAGAAATCGAAATGAAATTAAAATTTTTTTATATAACGGATATAACTCTTAGTATTTCATCAACCGGCGTTCTTATCGTAAGAGCATTTTCTTCAAAATAAATGGTCACACTATTGATCAATCTGATTCACTTCATGAGAACAATGTTATATCGATTAACAACTCCTTCGCGAAATTTAAAGTGTTGGAGTTAGCAGATTTGTCTAAATTGATCAACGGAGTGGAAATGAAATACAGCAGTGAGATACTTAATCGCAAACTTATTAAAAAAACTTTTGGTGTTATAGGACATGCATTGTTGCACCTTATAAATACATCTTTGAGCACTCGCATATTCCGGAAGGAGCTCAAGACCAGTGTCCTTGTGCCATTTCACAAAGTCCCTAACACAAATAAATCCTGGGAATTTAGACCAATCAACACTTTGCCTTGTATTGAAAAAATATTAGAACTCGCAGATTATAATCAACCCATTGAATATTTAAAAAATAAAGATATTTTACTAAAATATCAGTCAGGTTTCAGAAAACATCATTCATGTGTATTACAAGTCATAATATCAAAATGGAAAGAATCAATAGATAAGGGACATTATATTATAGCCGTATTTTTAGATCTTTAAAGAGCTTTTGAAACAATTGATCGCCACATATTACTAAATAAACTGCAAGGTATTGGTATCAGGGAAACTGTTTTGTTATGGCTGACTGATTATTTATCACAACGCAAACAGGTAACCAAAACAAAAGATTTAGTGTCATCATCTCGCGATGTTGTTTTCGGGGTACCTCAGGGAAGTGTTTTGGGGCCTATATTATTTTAATCTACCTGAATGATATTGATACCATCCATGGTTGTGATTTCATGAACCTTTTTGCAGACGACACTTTGTTATCAATTTCAGGAAATACAGAAACACTAGCTGATCAAGTGAATAATGAACTAAGAAATGTTTTCAAGTACATAAATCACAATAAACTAAAACTCAACACCTCTATAACAAAATATTAGATCTTATCAACTGATTATAAGCCTACACTCATCAACAAACACAACATAAGATTACAAATTGCAGGTGATGTAATAGAGTTTGTAAGTGAATTCAAATACTTAGGTTTCATGGTGGATAATCGTTTATTCCTTCATGCTCATTTTGATTAAGTATATATACAAAAAAATTACTGAAAAAATATATTTTTTCTCAAGAATTTCATTTCAGCTTTCGATGTACTCAAAAATTGAATAGGTAATCCAGTATATCAAACATTTAATTACATTGCAGTGGCTGTCTGTTTCCCAGAAACTCAGAGACTGTACTTGTTAGCAATGATATTATAACTTGCTTCCAACTTATTTCGAAGAATTCTGTATAAATAAATCTCAAATCCACTTAACAAGAGCGAATAGCTCCCAAAAATTCCACCATCCTTGAAAGATTCAATAAATATTTTCCAAATGATTTTCTTTTTTCTGTTTGGTAATATATTTGTTATGTATATCCTCATGTTGAAACCATTCTGGAATCACTGAAAAATAATGGATCAATATTCTCAACTTCTGCAAAATCTGATCACAGAATTCAACAATCGTTTTGAAGTCTTTAACAAAATGAATGAAATGGAATTTCCAATTTTCAACACTCCATTGAATTTTGATGCTCCTCAGGCACCAGTTCATTTGCAAATGGAGTTGATAGATCTTCAATCGGACAGTATTTTGAAAGAAAAACTCAAAGAGATTAACGCTCTTACATTTTATACACAATATTTCAAGAGTTTGGATAACTACCCGGAATTGAAAAAACATGCAGCACGCATTCTGTGCATGTTTGGTAGTACCTATTAATGTGAGCAGATATTTCCGCCGTGAAAATAAATAAAAACAAACATCGCAAAAGACTTACGAATGAACATTTCCAATCAATTCTTGAAATAATTACAACGGATATGATACCTGACATCAATGAGCAAGTGTTTCTTGAATAAGTTATGGATTTTCATCAAGTATCGGCCGTTTCATCACATAATGAACAAAATACTGTTTGTTGTAGCAGTAATTCACAAATAAATAAAAATAATTATACAAAGGGCAAAACCAATTATCAAGCCAGTGTTAGAAGAAAATTGTCGGCACATTACTCTAAATATCCTCAACAATCAATAATATTTTGTTATCTGGTGTGTTATGTTCATTATGTTCTGTGTTCTGAATTAATTATTAATGTTAGAGTTGGAATTATAATGAAATTATGAATTTTGTAATTCTTTTCATACGTATCAGCCTTTAATTATATTTCTACAAAAATATACTTACAGTAATTTTGTTCTGTTGTTTATTTATTTTGAGTATTCCTTTTTGAGTGCTTTGTTCTTTTTCATTACACAATCCATGATGTTTTAATTGTTTCTGAATACTATTTTTGAAAGAAATATTATCCTTATTACATTTTAGTGAATTCTAAATCTTACCGAAAGTATTCCACTCCACTGAAATAGGTTACTTGTCCTGACAAACTCTCTGGCAAAATTTGCATGTTTTGTTAAGTACAAATCAAAAGGAATTTCCGCTTCTTGTAGAACTGGAGCCACCTTCTGCTGGAATATTTGTTTGCCTTTCCCTTTCCCACTTTTGGGATTGCATAACACTAACAGTCTTTTGTTTTCCTTATGTTTATGGCTTAGAGTGAAACCTGCTATGCTAGCATTTGAAATTGTTTCTCCTCTTATTAATTTTTTCAACACCATTCTCCATCTTTGAGCTTCTTTGTTGTTGTCTTCATATTTATCGAAGGATCTGAACCTCAAGGTAATTATAGTTCGCTCCCTTCTTTTGTTTGAGGCTTTAGAATTTTGGAATATGTAGGCGTAGATGTATAAGTAGGCACTGGAATCGGAGTCATCCAGTTCTAGTGAGCTCTCTTCGACAACTTCCAAACTACTTGAGCGTGGAATAGAATGGCACACACATTGTCTCGATTGTTTCTTACTACGTAAACACCTGCTACCGATTATGTCGCGAATTGGAATCAGTTGTTCCTTGATGTTATGTTCACTCTCTTTTATTAAACATAAGCCTTTTCTTGTTAAACGAACTCTGAACACGCAATTTTTCTTTGTCAGAACGTAAAAAGTTTCCTCCAACAGGATTCTGTTTGAATTTTCATCCTCCTTTTTGACTTCCATCTCATTCATAATCTTTAACAACACCAATATTTCAATGAGTATCACATATGGTTATTAATATCATTATATCATTATGTTCATTGTATTATTATAGTAGTACATTCACTCTTTGGTGGGGGTAAATGATAATTGCAATGTTGATTGTTTTTGTCAGGTGTTTTATATCCTAATGAAATTGTTTACATTTGCAAAATAATTTGTACCATTACCTTCCATTTCTGATTTCTTCTTTTTAGCAGTCAGTTTCTGTGACCTATATTCTGTGTTTGAGGTGTTCAATGTCATTTTTAACAGTAAGTTCAAATTATTTGAAACTTATCAGAAATATAATTAGATTGTAGTCGAGGAATTATGACGATGTCATCTTGGCAGGTTGTAAGGCAAACATTTCGACAATTTCAATCGGACTAGCTTAATTTTACCATGCTCGAATTCACTAACCATTGGACGAAATTTTTAGGTTCAGAGCCGAGAGATTCTCAATAGTTCATGGTTTCTGTTCTGTGCTGAGTGTCCCTTCTGGGAGGTATTCTTTGACAAAACATCTAACTTCAGTTAATATAATTGGTAAAGGTTTTTTCTACAGAATAGACTGTAACATATAATTTCCTTTTTGAAATAAAGTCCATAATTTCGGAAAAATACCTAAAATTCAATATATTTTTAAAAATATGACAAGTGTCAAAGAAAAAACGTTTCTGGTCCTAATAATGTTGATCTCGGAGCTAATCAATTACATTTTTTTTCCTCGCTCTCGTTAATACCGAGCACACAGCAGATGTAACGGAGACAACAGATCTGCATTACCGAACACATAGTATAGCGAATCGATCTAAAAGATTAAGTTCGTTCAGACACAGTAGAATGCTAAAAGATCATACTGTGGCTCAGATATATTAACCTCACAGTAACAAATTGATTACGCTGAGATTTTAACGAACACTTCTATTACTATTATCAAGTCAACTGTCAATATGGCTTGTGTCAATGTCCATATTTCAGAACGCTTGAATCAAAAAGAACTTACTTTTAATGCTAATTGCATAGAATATTAGTGCCCAATTGCCTCAATCTAGCTGAATAGAGATTCAGGCTGAACCTTATTTATGATTTCTAACATCATACCAGTCAAATTCTCTCTAGCAGAACGTTATTCTGCATGTGATTATGCAAGTTTTTTGATACTTTTTTTTGTATTGTTTTCAGTGAGTTATGGGTTAGTTATTCAGTAAATAAAAATATTAATCCAGTCAAAATTAGCAAACTACCAATAATTTGCAGAATTGAGAATTGTTATGCTATTAAATACTTTGTTACAAATAAAATCAAAATTCCCCACAGACTTGGGCACTAAAAGATAAAAAATATCTGTTTATTTTGCATTTTTTTCGTTAACGGTAAGTGTTATCATAAAAATGGGTCAAAGGAAGGTTGAACTTGTATATTTTGACTGGACTTGTGTATTATTCCATGTATTGGTTGTATACCTTCAATATTTTTCAGTTTCTCCGGAAGATTCAGAAATGAGTTCCGAAACCAGCGACGATGAATACAACCCTACACCTGCTCGAGAACATCGTACAGCTCGAAAATCAGTGTCTCAACCAACACAACCCTACTCCACCAGAAGACAGGCAGCCAGAAATGCATCGAAGGCCCTGCGAGCTACATCAGACCATTTTATGGCAAATTTCAATCCTGAGACAAGTGTGAGAGAAAAAAGAAAACTCAGTAGGAAGATTCACCCCCCTAGCAACGTGAGGAGACCTGCGGGAGCAATATACGATGAAAACGGTGTCCATATCAGTTCTGGAGTCGACCTTTGTGACTGTCTGAATGAGGATTGTGTGGGATGCTTTTTTGAATGTCCCAAGTGCGAATCAATGAAGTGTTCAACTGATTGTAGGGTACATAGAAAATATATGGTGGAGCAAATTGAGTATCACGGGTATGATCACGTTATCAAGAATCCTTTATACAAACATTAAATTTGTTCAATAATTATTTGTATTTCTTTAAATAACTAGCAAATAAACAAATTTTCAACTATCTTGATAAAATAGAACTGAAACTAAACCAATTCTATAAATGTAGAGGGTAGGTTGTCTAATCTTAAGGTTATACCTACTACCACTAAGTATTATTTTCCAAGTATCAGAGATACAGCTGTCATCAAAGGTGATCTAGAAATTGTTTGTTCTGAAATATAAATCCAATTATCACATTTCTTATGTAGCCAAAATTGCCCTAGATAATGATGACGTTCTTGTGTACATTGTATTATTTTCATTATTCATGATAATAATAAATCAAAAACTCCCTTTTTTTCAATTAGTAATCTCTATTAATTGAGGTGAATAATTTATATGAATGACATCGTAAAGTAGAGTAGAGTACTAGTCCAACTGAGGAAACCACTATGTAGTGAAGCGTGTATTGGAAATAAAGTGTATATTGTGAACATCTGTGATTATTATCACGAATAGTGTTATTGATTTTCACCAAGTAATGTGGCAGTGTATTCAAAATCAGTTATTGGAGGTTTTGATGAAATATTTTGTAAAACTTTTTTGACTACTCCTAATTTCATTTAAATTTTCTTGAACATGTCATTACCTAGCAATATACTTTCGAAAATTTTGTTGATATCTTGTAATTATTGATGACTACGTATTTATTACTGATGAGTTGAAAACATGGCTGTTATTGATATTTTTTTGAAGGAAGATCCTCAAATCAAAACCTCGAGCGTGTTGATTTTTGATAACTGCTTTTCAGCTACAGTAAATTTTGTGAATTATGCAAAATTAATCATATTTTTTTATGTAATGCCGGATAAAATAGTTTTGATAATTATAATAAATAAAATATTTTTTTTAATTTTTTCCATTCATGAATGTCAATTCCACTTCTATAAATCCCTCAACAATTATCACATCATATCACCTTCTATCCCTCTTTTGAATTCGATGAAACTGCCTTCTTGCTATGTATGATCAAATAAACTTTCAGATACATATTGCTTCCGTTACTGTCTAATATTTCTGTTTAATATCTCTTCGTCAACTTCTTAATATTAGATTCTGTCAATTTTAACTCATATAAGCAAAACTATTGNCCAATGATTTTGGTACCCCCAGAGCTGGTTCAGGACCTACATATGAAGTTGATGATCCGCGTCTAGCGCATTCATCAGCTTTATCATTACCTGTGATTCCTGAATGCCCTGGCACCCAGTACAAAGTTAATTTGTTCCTCTTTGCAAGTTCATTCAGTTCTTCATGGCATTCCCAGACCAGTTTTGATGTCACCTTCGGGTCTGTCAGAGCCCCTAGTGCGCTCCTGCTGTCTGTAAAAATATTGATCCGCTTATTTCATTGAGGTCTCAATTTAATAAGCCTTGCACACTGCAAGATAGCATACACTTCCGCCTGAAAGACGGATGTGTATAGTCCTAGCGGATAGCTGTAGTTTAGGTTTCTATCCGCTCGGTATATTCCAGCTCCCGTTCCATGTTTACTTCCCACCCTTAATATCCTCCTTCCAGTAAACAATATGGAGAATCGAAAAAACAGGTTAATTTTATTGTCATGGGGGGACACTTTCAAGGACTATTTGTAGCCTTCGTGGTTCAATCCCTAGAAGAGGTAGATGCTACCCTTAGAATTTTAAATGGTAAGTGGGGGCCAAGTGGCACATCAGTTTGATTGGAGTTCAATTCTGCTTCCAATGGTACCCTGACTTATTATTTTTTGATGTACATTTCTCGAAAAAAAGCGTTTTAACTAACAGAAGTAATTATTAGTACGCCTATACTGAGATGCATGGTTTGACTAGAACTGGTAAGAATATTAGGTGGTACCGTTCTAACCCTTAATTAGGGGTAACAATAGCCATTAGCTTCAATTAATTTACATCAAAAAGTAGTCTAATAGTAAAATGTAGATGGTAGTAAAGTTTAGTAAATGCTGAATTGTTAATTTTCATCACAAAAAGTATACAGATAGTGTACAGAAAGTGTACAGTTTTTTAGTTTGGTCTTCCTCTTGAAGATGCTAACTTGGTGATCGAAACATATGTCGAGGTGTTGAAATAACGGTTTGGTGTTGGGAAAAAACTCCAGTAATATTCATTACTACACCAAAGGTTCCAAACAGTGCATCACAAGTATATCATTATACATAGGTATAATGATATTGTAATAAGTTGGATTTATTATATTTTTAGTTGAATTTCAAATACCAAAACACATGTGTTTTCGTATGAAAAGGGAACCTTATCATCTTTCAGAAATAACCTTAAGGCCAACAGAACCAAGCCATTTAAAGAAAAAAAGTCGTTAAAATCAACTGCTTGATACTAAGAAATTCGATATTTTGTAACATTCAACCCCATAATTCATTTCATTATCTTTCGTTAAGGGTCGAAAATATGTCATCCAGTCTGTATACCCCATTTAGAATAAAAGTCAGAAAACACTCAAACGTATAATAAATATCGCAATTTATCTTATGAGCTCTAAATTTAACGACAAGATAAAATGAAGCCACCCAAGTGGCTAATCTACATATGTTTTATTCGAGACAGCAAAGAAAATATCCAAAAATGACCCTTGCAGTGACATCTATATATCAGTAGTAGACTCACGACATTAGAAATGTCGGGAACTAGACGTGAATTCTTGAGGACTTATTCGCCGGACCATGAGGTGGCGAAAAGAGTACCAGTCTTAGAAACAATTTCAAACTTTCTGATTGGTTAGAATTTTCTGGGATAACATTACTTACATCCCCTAACATAGTAAAGGTGGTGAGGTTTTTTTGGAAAGATTTAAGTCAGTGGTGCGCGGAGATTTGGTGAATC